AAGTCACATAACTCATTTAATTAAAACATATAAAGCGCTAAACTGGTGCTAGATAACATTATTCTTATTCTATTAGCAGTAATTGGTACTTAGTGATGTGGTATGTCGGAGAGGTGGAGAGGCGAAAAAAGAAGATTATTTGGTTACGAATATTCAAACCGACTAGTGATTCTTAGGACTCCTTATGGAGGTGGCATGTGCAATCAAGAAGCACAACTAGATAAATTACACTGCATATTTCCCACTTTGGCCAGGTTACTGAAACATGCACTCCTCACGAAATCCTTTCTCCTTTACCACAGCCAAAATTTACCAAGAAATAAAATATTCATGAGAATCAGCAAAAGATTTTAATGACAGCTACCTCAAGTTTGAAACATCTGGACTGCTCAGAGGCAAGCTGGCTTCGTACAGATTGGAGTTCCTGCAAAATTATGAGTGAGTTCTAAAATTAAACTGAGGAATAAATGAATACTCATACTCCGCTAAACCAAAATTATCTTGGTATGAATGGGGAAAAGAAACCCGAAAGAAGATAATTCTGTCCAGTGACATCACGTTATCTACTGTTAATTTCCATCACATGACACATTTTTTAATTAAAACGTTGGATCTCAGAACTCACTTAAAGCATAGTGCCACAACACTCTCAGGTTGCAAATTCTCAATAAACCCACAAACTCAAATTTTCCAGAGCGTGCATCAAGTATTTGTAGTAGACCTCTCTCTTTAGAAGGATTATAGGACTAGAAGACATCAAAATAGAGAGATCTGACAACTTTTCCAAGATTTTCTACATAAAAGTAGAACACTAAAGAGTGATAAATGGATCATTGGAAGGGCAAAATTGAACAAGAAAATAAGGGCCGTTCTCTTTGCTGTTTTCAGGCCATTTTCAATTTTCAATTTTCGAAAACATTGAAAACAAGTTTACTTACCTATTTTCATAAACAAATTTCCAAAAATGACTTTAAAATTTACTTAAAAAAAAAAAGGAAAAACGCCAAAAAAGTTGTTTGGGCCGTTTTCAGCTAAAACCAAGCCAAAACTTTATTTTTTTTATTTTCTAAAACAATTTTTCAAGATGACAAAAAGAACGCGTTTTCAGCAATCTCAAAATGGACACTCAAAACATAAAATTCAAAATGAATTCAAAACTCAGAACTAAAAACTGAAACACGAAGAGAACAATCCCTAAGCCTTTGTAGGCTAGACTCAAGGTCATCTAATTTTTCCTTTCTTCTGCAATTTTTTTCCTCTGTAAGCTCTCCCAAAAATTGGAAGCAAGTTGGTTTTTGAATACTTTCTTTGTGAAGCATGCTGCCATCAGAAATCAGATTCGACAGTAACAAAAAAAATTTCATCTGACATGGTGGTAAGACAGACTATTTTATCAATTTCATATCTGAACACCAGCAACCGCAGAATCTTCTCTCTCCTTTGGGATTGGACATAATAAATATGCACTTTACAGATAATTGTCATTTCTTCAAAAATTAAATAAATAAAATGTCAAACACAAATCACAATGGCATAATAAGTGCACGTAAAAACTTTCATATTTTTATAGATGATGGAGCCTCTCTGGCCAGCAAATTTACTGGTGTGATGCTCTCGCACACTTGTCCAACTCCCACTTTTGTCAAGAAATTCATGCAAGAACAATTCCAAGAGAATTTCATGAATTATTCTATCAGGTAGAACCAGGGGCAGACCCATTAAGGGCCCAGTGGAGGCAACTGGGGGCAACTGCCCCCAGTGGGCCCTTAATTTTTTGCCTTTAAAAAAAAAAAGCCCACCCTTCCCAAGCCCAAGTCCTTCAAGCCGTCAAAACAAGCCCAGGCCCACCCTTCCCTTTCCCTTTCCCCCCAGTTGCCAATCCCTTTAGTTCGTTTCCCCCAATTCTCCCCGACTGAAGACTGCTGGCGACTGCGTTTTCCCCCAATTCTCCCTGCCGGTGTTCAAGGCGTTCTCCCCGACTGGCATTCACTCACTCAACAATACAGAACAAACGAAAGGTGCAATTTTTTCCTTTTATGTTTTTGGTTTTCAAGTCAAGTTTTACGCCTTACGGTTTGGTTTGGTTTCGTATAAATATGACAATATCAGTACTGCTTTGAATAAAACATGATCTTTTTTGGCATTTCTTCACTGTATACTGATTATTATAGACATATAGCACTTTGTATTGATGATTTTCTCGTTGCATTACTTATTTATGTGAAACCCCAAGCATGTTGTTTTGTCTAGTTTTGTCAGTATAAAAATTAGTAATCTTTTGTTTTTATGATTAATTGATTATGTTGTTTCTTTAATGGCAACAATAATTTCATCATTAATTTCTATTTGTTACTATAGTGGCAGACAGTATATGTATTTTCTTCATCTTTTTCATTGCTTTTAAATTCTTCATCTTTTTCTAAGGCCAGTATTTATGGAAAGACTAACTGCTCTCTTTTTCCTCTTTCGGCTGAAATGTTTTGATATAGTTCTTGACAGCTTTTGATCTTTGGTTTGTGCATTCACGTGCTAATATTTCTCGTCAAAATTATTTTTCATTATTATCTAGTTCTGATTCTAACTGCCTTTACTTCTGAAATTTTGTGCGACAAGGTCGTAGAGTATCGTTTAAAAACTTGCTGGTAGTGATGACTTCTAATGTGGGTTCTTCCACCATCGCCAAGGGTAGACTAAACTCCATTGGCTTCTTGATTGCTGATGATGCATCATCTTCGTATGCTGGAATGAAAGCATTGGTGATGGAAGAGCTCAAGGCGTATTTCCACCCTGAGTTGCTCAACAGGATAGATGAAGTAGTGGTGTTCCGTCCTCTTGAGAAGCCTCAGGTATGTCTTATTTAGTGATGGTTTGTAGCTGCATTTTAGATATATTGAAGGCTTTTGTTGCACTTCGTTAACTGCTTTGAGCATGATTCGCTAAGCTTAAAAAAATTAACCTTTTGTTTTCAAACATGTTTGGAATCATTTTCTATTTGAATATTATCTTTATTGTTTAAAATTATTTTTTTCGTAAGTCTCGCCCCCCGGAACCAAAATCCTGGGTCCGCCCCTGGGTAGAACCATATTTGATCAATATATCTATGAAATCAATGAAAAAAATAAATTTAGAAGAAACCACTACTTAACAATGTGAAACTACTGTATATTCTGTTATAATTTAAATGACTCAATTCTTGTTCATGCATAGAGCAGAAACACATTTTAGCCCTTGTTACCTTGAATTAAGCTCACACAGCACTAGCAAAATGGATTGGTGAAATAGCAAAAGAGGTTACCTTGTACAGGTCTGTGTTGCGATTCTCAGCTTCCATCAACTCTTGCTTTAGCTGGAGGGTTTGCATTTTCTCCTTACTGAGAGACGATACTAGTTCTTCCTTTTCTCCCTTGAGGGCTGCTAAGAGACGCTCATTGGTTTCTTCAACCTTGTTGATCTGTAACACAGGTAGAATACATGTCAAAAGTTCTTCAAGGGTTTTTGTACAAGGAAAGCAGGTTTATGATATATGAAATACTCCATCCCCTATTTTTTGAAACATTATCTACACTACAAAATTAGATTGTGAATTTTTTAAGACCATAAATCATATTAATTTAATTAATTGATATTGGGAAAAACAGGTGATTGTACTATTTATTTACGTAGTTTAATATTGTATTTCATTGTATGATAAAATTTATGAAACTGCATGCTGGCATTCCAAATTTATAAATAAAATAAATAAATAATTGACCAGTTTAACGGAAGGACTGCAGCCAATTTTTGTGGATGGAGTGCCCAACAGTTTTTGCAACAATACTAGTATTATAATGAATGTGTATCACTCAAAATATCATCACCATTGCTAGTTAAATAAATAGCAAGAAAGGTTTTGCCTTATCTATGAGTAGATATAATAGATAGTAAGAAATAAAACAAAAAAAGTGTGTATGCCATTAACCTAAGTGTCAAGACAATAACTACGGTACAAGTGCTTCATACAAATAAATCCAAGAAAGCAAATATGCAACTTTACATACCATTGGCTCTGAATCAACATTGTCCATAACAATTTCCCTAATTTTTCCTTCTTGGCCTATTGACTCCACATCTCTGGTAGCATTTGTAGCATTTTGAACGGCTAAAACACTATCAGGTACTTGTGACTCCATCATCTTTGATTTAAAAGTTGATTTATGACTTGGTTTAAGTACATTGACCTAATGGCAGCAAGCAAAGCCACATTGAAGCATTAACAAAGAAATATACCTTACAGAAAAGTTAAAGCTAAAGGGACGCTCATACCTCATTATTGTACCGCCCATTATATCCTCCAAAAGAAACCAGGATATCTTCACCATTAAAGGAACTCAGGACCAAACTTGAGCCCTATACAAACATGGAAAGGCAGGTCCCATTTACTGGTTATCATTCACTGGTAGTTGAAGTAATCATAAAAATCAGGATGTCCACCATGTATGCAGGTGCAAATATGATATTATCCAATCCAATGATTGTTAAATACCATTTTAAGTATTAGTTAAAAACCAACATCATCCTCCTATATGTGCAAGTGACACGAGAAAGGAACTTCCAATACAAAAATGTTCTCTTACTGATATGCATCCAATACAAGTTTATAAAAAGTAGCAAGTTTTTTCTTGGGCTGTCATCAATGGGGGCTCCCTTTTAAATATATTAGCTCAACAGGAGAAATATTCGTCAGGTCTGTCAAAACTCTTAACTGTGTTTTTTAGTTGACAACAGTAGCAATGACATAGTTCTATGTCTTCATAGATCTCTTACTGTTATTGTGTTAGGTTTGTGTAAAGGTCTTTGCTCAATCAAACGGCAGTTTCTTGTTCCAATATTAAGTTGCATGATATTTCAAAGGTTCAAGTGATCTTTAAGATTGTTATTCTAACTCCTAGATCATTGGTTCAGGAGCTTCTAACAATATAACTGGATCTTCTCATATCTTCTCACGTTATACACTTGTGCAGGCACAATAGACGGCAACGATTGTAGTGTTGCTGATCAAAGAATAATTCTCTTGAAAGATTCAAGACACTTTCCTAGTTCAACGTGTAATCCATGTCCATGACAAAACGTACCAATTACTAGATTGCTTAACTTCCTTTCCCTCTCATTGTGTTATACAGGACAAAACAGGTACACAATTTGTGCATGCCATAGATAGACTTTATGGTCCGACTGGAACTGCTTGTTTTATTCCAGGTGTTTCACTTCTAGCCTCTCCAGTCTCCACTCAACTTGAGACTAAGAGGGGATGCGGCCATCTTGGAAACATGTTCGCCGTCCTTGAAAGAGAAGGATATCTTACTTTGGCATAACAAATTGGGTTCACCATTAATTTTTATTATGCAAAAGATATTTCTTTCATTTGATTTCAATTAAACACCTTTCATTGTAAATTTTCGAAATGGCTAAACATCATCTGGTTCCATTTTGATCAATAAATGAAAGATTTTTGGTTTCGTTCAGCCTTATTCATAATGAATGATGTGTGGGAAAACCTAGAATCACTAATATTTGTGGTGCTCTATGATTTGCGGCATTCATGGATGATTGCAATAAGGTCACGTGGGTGTATCTGATAAGAAATAAGTATTAAGTCAATCAAATTACCCATCTTCCATCAAATGATATGCACAATCAATTGGGTAAATATCCATATTCAAAGTTCAGATAATGGAAAAGAAAATTTAAACAATGAGTTATTTCTTATTTCCAAAAAAGAGGGATTATTCAACATTCCACATGTATTGTCACTCCTCAACAAATGAGTAGCAAAGAAGACAAATTTACATTTACTAGAAGTTGCTAGAACTGTGCTTTTATGAATGAGAGTACCAAAAACTTAATGGGCAAGTTATGTTAACAACTTATCTAATTAATTAGCTACTCTAGAGTTCTAGGTTTTAAAAGCCCATCAAAAAACTGAAAGCAATAATTGCTGTCTCAATACAGCCTCTGAGTTAAAAGTTTTCCTTCATCTAAACCCTTTGGAAATCTTCCTCCTAAAGCATTTGGGTGCATTTCCTTAACAAGATCAAACTTGATCCTAGAGCTCTTTAAGTGTAGGTTACTAACAATTCACCAAAAATAAAGAGTTATAAAATGCTTTCATCTTCCAAGAACGATATGGTGTTTCTGGAACTTGGGGACCATTATGTCTGTAATTGTTGATCATCCCCAGTTCCTATTTGTTAGAGTTGGGGATCCCAAATTGGCCTTGCCTATTTTTATATCTCCATTCTATGCTTCATGTTCTACTGATAGAAGGGATTTTGTGGTCGGGTCTTCAACACATTTCCGTCACTATGGATGGCCTGTAGCTAGTTGGTGGTGATTTTAACGTTATTGCACATGATGGCGAGTGCACGGAGCATAATACACATAATGGAGGTACTACTGATTTTTCTGACTTGATTGGATTGTTGTCTCGAGGATGTCAAATTCTCTAGAGCTCAATTTACTTGGACCAACAGTCGGGTGTGGAAGAGATTGGACAAAGTTATGAATAATTTGGCAGCCGCATCCTTTTGTCGACCGCTTTATGTTAGGCATCTGAATTGAACTTCTTATGATTCAGTGGTCTGCTAATGATGAATCGGGACCTAGGTCTTTTCGATGCCTCAATGTTTGGACCAAACATCATGCCTTCTCAGCTTTCGTCTCTCAGAAATGGCTCTACACCTGGCACAGGGGGATCTAAACCGGACCTTATCCATTGATGAGGATTTTTGGAAGCAAAAGGTCAGTTCACGCTGGACAAGTGAGGGGGATGCAACACTCGGTACTTTCACTTGTTGGTGCAGGGACGTCGCTTCTGCTCTAGCATCGGTCTATTAGAACCTAGACAAGGGAAGTTATATCTACTCCTGATGGTATTCAAAGCTTGGCTGTCTCTTTTTTCAGGACCTTCTTTCTGCTCACTCACAACCAGTGGACCACATACTGTCAAACACTATTCCCAGGCTTGTAACTGAAGTAGATAACGTGGCTAATAACTGTCCCCATTTGATTCATGAGGTTCGAGAGGTGATATTTAGTATTAACGTTGATAGCGCCATTGGCCCTGTTGGCTTTTCATTCTTATTCTACCAACATTGTCGGGATATCATACAGGATGGTGTTTATGGGGCAGTTTTAGACTTCTTTGTTGTCACTTCTATTATTTTGATCTCGAAGAGGGAGGGCGCTTGTAGATAGACTACAAACCGATTAGCTTATGTAAGGTATTTAACAAGCTTATCTCTAAGATGTTAAATACTCAATTAAGTACTTTGCTGCCGCGCATTATTTCTCCCTAACATAGTAGCTTTATCCCGGGTCGTCTGATTGGGGATAATGTTTTATTGATTCAAAAAATTCTCCATACTCTAGATACTGAAGTGAGAGAAAGGAATACGGTGTTTAAGTTTGATATAATTAAAGCATATGATCGCATAAATTGGAGCTTCCTTTACTCTATCCTCGATGGCTGTTGATTTGATCGTTTATGGATTGATGGGATCAATCCATACATTTCGAAATGCCGATTATCGATACTCTTGAATGGTCATCCCTATGGCTTCTTCGCCTGTTCTAGGGGTCTTAGGTAGACGATTCCATCCATGGTATGAAAAAACGGTCAAGAGGCGCGCCTCAATTGGAGGCGTATTACAGGTACCTCGGGGCGTGAAATATGAGGCTAATCTTGAGAGGTGTGCGCCTTAATTGAATCTGCTACACACCTCTTGTACGCCTCAGACCTGGCCCTTTGCTTTTATTATATAAAAACTGGGCCCAAAAAGTTAGAAAAGGCCAAGTCTTCCTCTACTTTAATAGTACTACAACACCTACCTGCAGGCCTATATAAATATATTATTGACCTAAGTCACCTAACACAAAACAAATACGCAGAAAAAGGCTGAAGTAGGTTGCTACTTGCAAGACAGCTGTTTCGTGTCAGACTCTCTGCAACTGTTAAAGGCTGCTGGCTGCAACTATTCCGACGACTGAAAAAGTATCTGCAGCAGGTATGTACTGTAGCGGGCTATGCTTTTTTTTTTTACCATTGACAACGCATGCTGCTCTTATTTCTCAACTGCAATTCCAATACCACCTGTCTTCAATGTTTCAGTCACAAGATATAAAAGAAAAATACAAAAAGAAAGCGTATGATTAAAAGAAAGAGCAATAGAAAAGATCTGGTTTGGAAATATGAAAAGGAAGTCATAAGTTCGGGAGATGAGAATAAGAACTATCTTTATATTGAATGCCAATTTTGCAAGAAAACTGGAGGGGTCAAGCTTATGAAAGAACATTTAGCATGCACACATAAGAATGTAGCTCCATGTCCCAATGTTCCTGAAAATGTCAAAAAAGAGATCGAAGATTATATGAAGACAGGAACCATGAAAAAACACCTTTCACAACAACAATTTGATGACATGGTACACTTGGTAATTACTATGAGGGAGATGACACTAATAAAGCGCAAGATTCTACGAGAGGCATTAGGGGACCAATGGATAGATATATTACAAATATTGGTGATGAGAAAGAAACAAACAATCAAACTCCAAAGATGACTCCGAAAGAGCTACGCAGTAAAATCAGCTTGGATGTTAGCAGATTCTTTTTCGAAAATGCAATACCCTTCAACGCTGGAGAATCTCCTTCATTCATTAACATGTGTCGGGCTATTGGTTCGTATGGCAGAGGTTTTAAGCCCCCTACTATATATGATCTACGCTCTTGGATCTTAAAAAAGGAATTAGAAACTACCGAAAATATAGTTGAAGATATAAAGAAGACGTGGAGCAAAACTGGAGTTTCTATTTTATCTGATGGTTGGTCTGACATGGGGAATAGAAGTTTGATTAATTTTCTAGTCAATAATCCACATGGAACTGTTTTTCTAAAATCTATT